TCTCTTCTGTAAGGTTTTTCACCTACAAATAGGAGCAAGTGTTAAAATTTGGTAGAAAACATGTTAACTGGTGCAGTGATATTTTCACTTTGCAGTGTTTTTTGAGTTGTTTAATTTATCCTTTGGATACTCAGACAAGATCCAGCTCAAAATTTTCCAAAGCCAGTATGTCTTATGGTAACAGACTCTTACTCTGAGAGTCAGTGATGTCTTGGCCCTTTATGTGACTCCCTATGTGTGTACCTTGTTTTCAGTGGCATGTTTTTCCTTCTCAACCTTGGCTAGTGTCAATTCAAGGTCATCAATATCTTTCTTCAGCTCTGAACATTCATCCTCCAGTTTTCTTTTCTTGGCTGTCAGTTCAGCATTAATTTCTTCTTCATCCTCAGCCCTTTCAGTCACCTCCTTAATTTTGGCTTCCAGCTGGATTTTGGTTTTGATGAGCTGGTCACATCTTTCCTCAGCATCAGCTAAAGCATCAGCTTCCTGGTGGGAAAACATAGGAAAGGTTATTTAATGCTGAATGTCAGATGTGTATCAGTAATACCTTTGAGATTACTTTTTTGAGAAAAGCTTACTGCGCAGTTACACTGCAGATTATAAATTTAGAATAAGTTTTTAATCAGCTTTATTTTTTCTGACCTTTTTTATCATCACATACTGTGTCAAGCTCCATTACGTTTGCCTGAATATTTTTTAATATTGCCTAAATGCTGCCTAAATGCTACCTAAATGTACCTGAAATGTACTTAAAATGTGCCTAAATGGTACCTAAATGCTGCCTAAGTTTTCAAGAAGTCAAATAGCATTGGACACAAACATACATATATACAAATGACATTGGAGACAAACATACAAGACTGGCAATTGTGTCATAGGATGCAATGGACATCTATGTCTTCTGGGACCAGTAGCTACAGGAGCTCAGGTGAGATATGCCGTAAGAAATGATACTAGGCTCTTCATTTTGATGACTGAAATAAGGCAGAGTAGTTGGTCAGTTGAATCATTGTCCCTACTCCACTAAGTACACTACAGTGACTATAATGAGGTTTTGTGTCATGAACTCACACAGAGATATGTACATGTAGTCATTAAGACTAAAAAGTCATTCTTTAGCTTAAACTCCGCTTTGTAACAGTGAGACTGAGTGATGAAAGAATCTGGCCTGCATTTTACCTTTAGTTACATAGTATCCAGCTTAAAGTATTTTGTAAGGCAGTTTAGTGTGCAATTTGGGAGTTCTGTACTATGAAAGAAGAGTTAGTTCTTATTTATAATTTTCCCCATAAAAAAATAAAACAATGTTACTCACAGCCTGCACTTGGAGCTGCAGATCGTTTTTCTCCTGCACCAGTTTCACCATTTTCTCCTCCAGCTCCTTCCTCTTTGCCTCAGACTTTGCAAGCTCTTCCTTGGTTTTCTCAAACTCTTCCTTCATGTTGGCCATCTCCTTCTCAGATTCTGCACTCTTCAGCAAGGGCTTGATCTTGAAGAACAGCTTCATCCAGGGCCAGTGCTTGACATTCATGAATGCACGAATGTTGTACTGGATGCAGAAGATGGACTCCCTGAAGCATAATAAAATGTACACTGAATATTTTTTGTATGATGGGTGTTAACACTTTCCCCCAAGTACAGTGACTCTGACTGAAGATGAGGAATGTCTACCTTCTCTCCACCATTCTCTGGTACTCCACTCTCATCAGGAAGCCCCTGCACCTGGCCTGGGTGCGGGTGATGAGCTGTGCCAGTTTCTCATCCCTCATCTCCTCCAGGAGTCCCAGCAGTCCAGCTTTGAAGAACACCTTCAGAAAGGGAACGTCATCACACATCACTGTCAGGTAGAGCAACGCACAGGTACACAGCGAGTGAGTCAAGGAGAGTTTGTACCTTGGTGTGGCCAAATTTGTACTGGGTGTGATCCACATCGATTGACCCGAGAAGCTTCTCAGAAGCCTTCTTGCTGTCAATGAACTGTCCCTCTGGGATCGCACTGGCATTAAGCACCTTGTATCTGTGAAAAGAGGAAGAGGAAGATAAGGCTATTTTTTCCCAACCAACACACACTAGCTACTGAACCCCACTGGCTCATATATAGTTATTTCTGAATGAACCTATGTGAATGAACCAACATTGTTTTAACAATGCTGGGAAGTGCAGTTCTCTTACCTCTGTTTGAAGTCTGCATAGAGAACTCTGCTGGGGAAACCTTTCCTGCAAATTCTGATGCCTTCCAGCACGCCGTTACACCGCAGCTGGTGAAGCACCAGTTCATGCTCCATGGCACCTAGCAATTGATAGCATAAATGAATACCACAGTTTCCAGTGCAGAGGGGAATGGCTGTATCAGAGGAAGTCCTCTTTCTGCTTGAACATCTTACCAGGTGTTTTTGTTTCATTTGGGATGATGCAACGGACAAAATGGGGGTGAGTGCTCCGTAGATTGGTCATCAGCTTGTTTAGGTTCTCCTGAGGGATCATGTGTAGTGGCATAGATTAAAAAAATTTGCTTCTGTATACCCTGTATCTAGATGACAAGGAACTAATATATTGAATCTTAGGAGGAAAAAGCTTTCAAAATAAAAATTTAGATTTAATCAAACCTTCTGCTGAAGTATTCTCATTAAAAGAAAATTTAAAATTCTGCACTGTAGTCTGGAGGAAATAAAACATTAGTGTACAAAAATTTTAACACAAACCTTTGCAAGATCAGTACTTTTATTACATCCCAGATTTTGAGAAATATTTTTCACAAAGAATGTAAGTGAACTTTTGAAAGAAATTCGGGAGGTTAGCTGAAGACTGCTTGAAACGAATCCCATATGCGAACAGATCATCACTAGGAGAAGGTAGTGAATAACTTACACTCACTTCATACTTATTATTGTTTTGTCATAAACTAAAGTCATGACAAGAACAGCAGTTTAGATAGCTCAGATTTGAAACTATGTTCATGTCACTTTACAAATAATGAAATTCATACTTTACCCGGAAAAGAGCTGAGACAGTCTGGAAAGAAGAACCCTTCTTCTTGCCCCCCTTCTTCCCACCCCCGCCACCACCACTAGCCTCTTCAAAAACAGAGTTTTTTAACATTAACTTTTTTGTTGCATCTTTACATATTATAAATGTTGTAAAAAAGGAATTTTAGAAAACTAGCCTGTTTCTGCTCCACCATAGGAGGCAAAAAGTAAAGCCAGTGTCTTCACAGATGATTTCTGGTACAACCCAATGACAGTTTCATTCAGGGGGTCTTTGTTCTTCTCAAGCCAGCCAGAGATGTTGTAGTCCACCGTGCCAGCATAGTGTACCAGGGAGAAGTGGGCTTCAGCCTTGCCTTTGGCAGGCTTGGGCTTCTGGAAGTTACTGGACTTGCCCAGATGTTGGTCATAGAGCTTGTTTTTGAAAGAGGTGTCAGTGGCCTTGGGGAACATGCATTCCTCTTCCAGGATGGAGAAGATGCCCATGGGCTGGAAGATAGTACAATGAAGAAGAGACAATGCCTGTAGAATAATATGATCATGACTTGGTCTTAAAGGGAATATAGTAAAAGACCAGAAGGCAAGAAACAAACCAATACCCTTGAGATGAAGAAACTTTCTTTCTAAAAAGTGAGTTTAAAAGATTCACTTGCTTGACACATACTTTGGCACAGTGATTCACCATGTTAAAAAATCAGGAGCAAAAAGATTATATTTAAAAATATCTTTCACAAAAGTGTCCATTTTATATTTACTTCAATATTTGAACTTTTAATCAGGTCCCTAAGTTATATGGAACTACAAGAAATCTCTTTCAGTTTATTGCACTCAGAGGTCGTGACTGTATTGGCATGTACTTACTTTGCTATGAATCATCTAGAAAAAATGTATTTTCTGGATAATTTTATTCCAGAACCTTAAGAAAATATTTTTATTTTGTTTTGGGAGCTGCTCTGTGGTTTTGAAAAAAATATTCTTTAATCAAGCAAACAGAGATGCATTCCACACAGAGAATGTTTGTGAGGAATGACTTCTATAGTTATCTGTGGACTTTGTAATACCTATAATGCATAATAATCAGTAGTACAGCTCAAGAGAGATTTCAAAAACTAAAACTGAATGCATGAAACTAACCATGGAAGAAACCTTTTTTTTTTTTTTAATAGCATTTCACAGAATCACAGAATCGATTAGATTGGAAGAGATCTCTGGGATCATCGAGATCAACCTTTGCCCTAACACCATCATGTCAACTGGACCATGGCACTAAGTGCCACGTCCAGTCTTTTCTTAAACACCTCCAGGGATGGCCCCTCCACCACCTCCCTGGGCAGCCCATTCCAATGCCTAACAATCCCTTCTGTGAAGAAATGTCTCCTGATGTCTAACCTATGTTCAATTTAAACCTATGTGCAATTTAACCACATTCAACTTAAAATAATGGGTTCCTGAAAATACAAGGCATTTTCAATTGAAAATTTACTTTCTCAATGAGCTCAATGCAGGCAGCTAGATCCATCCCAAAATCGATGAATGTCCATTCAATTCCTTCCTTCTTGTACTCCTCCTGCTCCAGCACGAACATGTGGTGGTTGAAGAATTGTTGCAGTTTCTCATTGGTGAAATTGATGCACAGCTGCTCCAGGCTGTTGAACTTCCCAGTGGAAAAAAAAAAAAAACAGCAACTAGGCATCATCAACATGCACAGTTCTTGATCATTCTCAATCTTTTACAAATCTCTCCAGTTAAAACACAACTGTATTATCAGGACCACACCATAGCAGGACCTATATGCAGCTCCCCAAAGAAATATCTACATAATGAAAATGGAAATTTTTCCGGAGCAGATATTCCTAGTGAATCTCCTAAAATTCATAGAGTACTTTGGCTTTTTTTTTCAGCCAAAAAGATGAGTGTATGCCCTGGTCTGCAATGTTTAAACACTTGTTATCTCTCATTAAACACTTATCTATTCATTCCTTGGTCCTTTAAACAATTTACACATCTTTAACCTGTTATGTGTTTGTCAATGGGTCTCCAAATCCTTATTCTGTTCTAGAAGCTCTTACATAAGATTACTGTAATTATGTTAGGGTTTTTTTAATCATTAACGTGAAGTTCAAACTGTTAAAATATTGCAACATATAAAATTTTATTTGCCACTTCTGCACAAACAACATAACTCTGTTCTTGCACTGATGAATCTTCTGAGAATTTTGCTCTGTCCTACAAAAGAAAATGAAGGATTTTTTACCAGAAAATTGCAAATGACTAGTATGTTAAGCCTTTGGAAGAATACTACTTGGAAATCCTCTCATATAGCAATCTCACCCTCCAAGAACGGTTCTCAAACCTGGAATCCTTACATCAAAGATCTCAAAGCCAGCAATGTCCAGGACACCAATGAAGTACTGTCTGGGCTGCTTTGTATCCAGCTGTTGGTTGATGCGAATAACCATCCACAGGAACATCTTCTCATAGACAGCCTTTGCCAGGGCACCAACTGCATTGTTCACCTAAAATAAAGAAAAATGGACAGGAAGAAAAACAATATCCAGAGCAAATAGTGAGTGATACAAGACAGAGGTTCCTAGTCACCAACTGGTTGTTACCTGCTGCACAGTTTGGCCCTTGGTCACATATTCATTCCCAACCTTGACACGGGGGTAGCAGAGGGCTTTGAGCAGGTCAGCTGAGTTCAGACCCATCAAGTAGGCAGCCTTGTCAGCAACTAAGTAGAAGGACAAGGAGACAGAAAAATTAAGACTAGCAAGACATGCAGCATTTTGAGTGATGAACTGTTTCCAAAGCAACTGCAATTTTGAAAGTCCTTGTGATCAAATTCTGCTTACTGGATCTCAGAGGAAGCATGGCAGTCATTAAAACAAAAATCATCTTTGTTTTGAAAACTTTTCAGAGCAGTAGACCTAAATGCTATTTGTGTCTTTAATAATCCACACATAAGCATCTAGAAACAATGTATTTATTAAAAATTTATCCTGAAATCTGAAGTTCCTCCTTCAGTCCAGAGCTAATTGATATCTATAAGGCAGGCAACAAAACACCAAAGTGTTAGCATGTTGACCACCTGAGTGTTATCCAAAATATACACTTAGGTACTTGGGCTACCTGTATTCTTTGGCAGCAGCTATAACCCTAAAGGGGAATGCATTCCAAAATTGGAAGTAACAATTAAAAACTTCCCCTTTCTGGAGACTTATTGTTCTAGTCATAGCAGAAAGGCAGGTATATTCATTAATTCAGGATCAAAACCTAAAAATTCAGTTCTGAAGGTGGCCATCTGACAGCATTCTTCGGAAGAAGTAGGCAGTGCTTAGTCAATTTTAAACCATGTAAGCATTATATAACACTTAAGTGATTAAGTAGTCAGCTGAGAAGTAGAAATTTCTTCCCTAGCATGGTGTACCTGTGCTTCACTTAGACCAATGTTCAAATAATGATACTATGTAGTAACAGTTATGGGTTTGAATCTCCAAAGGAGAAGAAAGAAATTGAAGAAAAGTTCCCTTTTACCTGTGGAAAATTCCAAAATAACATTTCATTTAGGAAGGAGAAGTACTAACACTGAATTTAATGTCTCCATTTTTGTTAAAAAAGCAACCAGAAATATATTTTCTGAAAAATCTTTCACTTCTCAGTGGGTCTTTAGTATAAGAATATAAGCACAATGAGCAGGCTGTACCATCCAGAATTGTGGTTGCCCAGAAGACAATTACAGACACATATGAAATTGATACTTCAAACAAAGATTGTGTAGTAATTGAAAAAAAGGTAGATTTTGGATGACAGTTTCAGACCTATATACTAGCTCACCTAAACACTTCTTTGCACATTTCCACTGTTCTTTTTCTCCGTCTTCCAAATACTGAATTATTATCGCTACTTCTAGTTCTAAAAGGTCAGCCACAGACTCTACTAATACCTTCTGTGCCATCTGGCTCTGCCTGCTCCTCTCGTTGTTTCTGCTTTAACTTCAGGTTCCCATAGTGCATGACAGCCCCTGTCAGCTTATAAATGGCTGTTTTTTCATCAGCAGTGAAGCCCAGGATGTCGATGGCACTCTGCAATAGGAACAATAAAATAAAAGCCTTGTCTGGGAGAGATGACAATAGGTACAACATTTTTAATTGTTCCTTACATCTGTAGCCATCAGCTCCTCCTGGTCATTAATGCTGGCAACAGTGATCTCACCTTGACTCACAAAGTGATAGTCATACGGGTTGGTGGTAATGAGAAGCATGTCTGAAAGTAAGACAAGGGGATATGCAGGCTTAGTTTAGTCAAGCAAGTGATAAAGATGTGAGCTGATGTTCTGCAATCTTCCTCCAAGTTAATCATTCTTCCTACCAATTAGCTCTGGCTTCTTGTTCGACATGATTTGATAAAATATGTGGTAGCTTCTTTCTGCTTTGAGCTGGAAAGTGACTCTGGATTTCTCCAGCAGATCTAGAGGGAGAATTTAGTTAGAAACAGGAAGAAACAGCAAAAAAGAAAGTAGGAAGAAGATGGGAAGAAAAACAGGGAAGGAAGGATAGATGGCTGGGTGAATAGATGGATTGTGAACAGTTCAGGAAAGAGTCTTACATGTTTCAATATCGGCAGAAGCTAGCTTTCCTGTGGCACCAAAGTGAATTCTGATGAATTTGCCCTTTAAAGAAATAACAATTTCTTAAGATTTACATCATAAAAATATATCTGAAATGAAGTGTTTTGCCATTTACTCCACTAGGCACAAGATTTCTACTTAGAGATGTTTTCTTAAGAATCAGCTGTATTTCCACCATTCACATAAAGTCATCTTTTATATTTTTGAAAATTAAAATAATGAACAGTGGCACAGTTGTATATTTTATGTATGCTGAATGTATAAACAGGAAGGAACGGGTGGATTTTTATAGCTAAACTCTTCTAACTATATCCTGCATACACAGAGCAGTCACCTTAACGATATAGAAATAGTCATTTAACTAATTCAGTTGCTTAAATCTGTCTTGCTATCAAGTAAGTCATTTCACTTCTGATTAATTAAATTTGACATAAATCAAACATATTATTCAAGTACAAACTCTCTCCTCTTCCCCCCTTTTTCTTTCTCTATCTCTCTCTTTCTCTCTTTCTTTCCCGTCTTTCCTAATCTCCCTCTCTTTCTTCCTGGTATTCTATCTGTCTTTTAGCAGACAAACAGAAATATAAGTAAAAATAAACTAAGCTATTGTTCAACACTGCAATACATTATAGGAAAAAGAGCAGGTGTTCTGCTATTTTAATTTGTATCTCTATGCCAAGTAGAATCAATTTTTCGTATAGAATCGCTGTTTTGAAATCTAGAGAATTACCTTTAGGATAAGAGGTAAAGTCATGATAAGAAAATTCAGCCTTACGTTTGAAAACACAATGGCCGAATAACAGAAAAGAATGACTACCACACACTCCTGTTTACTATTTTTTGGGAATCAGGTTTTTAAACAACTTACAAAGCGTGAGGAGTTGTCGTTCCTCACAGTCTTGGCATTTCCAAAGGCCTCCAGCAGCGGGTTGGCGCTGATGATTTGATCCTCAAGCGTTCCCTGCAGGATGATAATTATTGCTGGTGATCCTTTCCAAAAATCATGTCAGGAAGAGAGGAAAGCATTGATTCCAGCCAGTGTCTATTAATTTGCCTGCATTTTGCCTGATTGCTCCTCCTTCTTTTTCTCCCCACTCGCTGCAATTGTTGCAAAGTACTGGATGACACGCTTTGTGTTCACAGTCTTCCCTGCACCGGATTCTCCACTGTCAAACCAAAGAGAGAAGCAGAGAGCATGTGGTCAGGCAGAAGGTCCTCTGGCACTGGGCAGCTCTGCAGCAACCGAAGTAGGGAGTGTACATACGTGATCAGGATTGACTGGTTCTCCCGATCTGTGAAAGAAGCAGAAATAGAGTACTTAAAAACCCAATGAGCAACACAGAAAGAATGAAACGTAATCAGGTAAGTCTAACGTTTTCAACTTCATGCTGTCAGCTGGCCTTGAACAAACAAAGAAATAGACAAAAAGCCCTCCATAACACCTCACTGAGTGCAGTGGTGTCTTTCATTTAAAATAGTAGAAACAATTGTATGAAGACAGTAAAAGCCACAATAGCATGTATGCATTAGAATCATTAAAGCTTTGAAGTCTCCTCATATTACTGAGACAGACTATTCCTTCAGAGAATTTCATGCTACAGTCCTTCTGGGACAGATAGAGCCACTCACCAGTCAGCATGAACTGATAGGCATTGTCAGAGATGGAGAAGATGTGTGGAGGGGCCTCCTGGCGCTTCACCCCCCCCCGCCGGGTTGGCACCCGGCAGCCACTTGTAGGGGTTGACAGTGACGCAGAAGAGACCCGAGTAGGTCTGCAAGGAAGGCAGACAGCATGTTGGCTTCCACTTAGCCTGGCAGAGCAGTTCCTCCCAACTGCCCAAAGGAAGACTGCTGCTGGTACTTACGTAGATCATCCAGGCTGCGTAACGCTCTTTGAGGTTATACAGCACAGCGGGTTCATGGAGGTGGGTCATCATGGCCATGTCCTCAATCTTGTCATACTTGGGAGGGTTCATGGAGAAGATTTGATCTTCCTTCACGGTTAGAGTCTGTCAGAGGAAGAAGGAGACGCATGTATGTCAGCTAAGAGCTGATAGTGGAAATCAAATGGTGACCTTTAACTTTGTTTTTCACTCACCTCTCCACCTTCAGTCTTGACAGTGACCTTCCCTGATTCTTTGCTCTGGATAGTCCCTTTCACAAAGGATTCTTTAGGATGCACCACAAAGACAGATGTCTTGGCGTCGAAAGGCTTGTTCTGGGCCTCGATTCTCTCCTTTTCTGACTTTCGGAGGTAAGGAGCTGCCTCCCCAAAGACGGCCATCTCGGAGTCTGATGACATACCTGCACTTTATGGAGGGGCTTGTCAGCACAAAACACTGTGGAAGAGCAGATATGTTTCTCAAATGTGTCAAAAAGTAACCACTTGTTTGTAGGAATAAAGATGGGAAAAGAAAGATACTACATTAATACTACTCATAGCTTCTATGGAAGTACTTGTATATTTTTGTATTGGTGTGATTCAACACTTACGGAAAATGTGAGAATTATGTTTTGGGAGATCACTTGGCTCAGGGTCAATTACATTCACTGTAATGAAATTGTATTTGAAATAATCCATATTCACTTAGTAGTCAACTATTTAGGAACAGTAGTGTGGAGTTAAGAACCTCAAAATTTCTTTCAGCTGCTTAGGCACTCTTTTAAAATTCACTTGAAATTGTTATCATGCGGTTTCTTCCCAAGTGATACTAATTCAGAAAGCTCAGAAGGCTCGTACACCACTTTCTTGAGTGGCATACAGACAACTCAAGCATCCTAATGGCTCAGTTTCAGTCTCTAAAACATTTGTATCATTGCATTAAGTATACAATTATTTGCTAATTTTATTAAGTTCTTGAATCCAGGCATAAATGGCTACAATGCCTGTTGAAAGAAGAATAATGCTATTCCAGAATACAATGACATAGTTCCATTTCTTTTTCTTCTTTTTTTTTTTTTTAAAGTTTAATATAATTTTAGAGAAAAAAAATTTAAACACAAAGATTCAAAGTTCAACTCAGAAATATTTAAAAAAAGGAATTTTAAAGCCAGTATTAATTTCTCTGAAAAATTACTTTTTGCATTTTTTTATCCCAGGAAAAAACATTGGGCAGCTTAGGAAAATATTTATTTCTTTCTATCCTGTATAAAGATAGGCACCTAATAGTTACACAATCTTTAATATTGTGTTATATTTGTACTAAAATGAGAGAGTAACATGGTAATTCTCTATTTGTCCCTGGAGGAATAGGTGGTGGCTTACAAAGGAGGAAGACTTCAGCTTCCATTTTCTGTGAGGTACAGAACAGGCAGAGAAGTGAGGGGAACAAACCACAGCCCTGCATTTTACAGAGATGACAAGCAGAGCTTGGTTGTTTGTATTACAGCTCTTTCTACTCTTACTTCTTTAGTGATTTCATGGCAAATTGTGGACAAAATAACACATTAATCCACATGCTCTGAGACAAAATGTTGAATTTTGCACTTTTTCCTACTGTGCTTATCTTGGTCCAGTTTACGTTGTGACAACAAAGATGGAAAGCCAGCACACCTCGCTCCCTGTTAGGTCAGTTAAGCAGAAGTGAAGAACATTCCCATGGGAATGTTCTGTTCTGCCATCAGTGGTCAGAGACTTCAAAGATAACCCCTTAAAGGTTGGACCACATGATCTTTTGAGGTCCCTTCCAGCCTGGGCTCTTCTATGATTCTATGATTCACTTGAAAACCTTCCCACCCTTGGGCACCCCACCACCTTCTACTGTGACCACACTGAGTTTGAAAACATATAGTGAAACAGTGACCATTCACTCAGCTGTACAGAAATCCCACCCAAAAGGATCTTTCTCTGCCCTCTAAGAGTTAAGAAATAGTGTTCTTACCTCTTGTGACACCAGATGGGTGGCTTGCAGGCCGGCAGCTGGTGAGTGCTGTAAAACAGAAATGGCAACTCCCTACTTGCTGCTGCACAGAAATCCAGAGTGAAAATTTGCAGGTGCCTTGAAAGCAGATTTAAAACCTGAGCTGAGAAAGGGAGCGCTGGAGGCAGCAGGCAGGAATGCTGTGGCACATAAGGGCACTATCCCCTTCTCCCAAGCCTGTGGACCCCAGACACTTACCTTGAAGCTTTCCGTGAAGACAGGGCAGACTTGTCACAGAGACATTTTATACGATCTAGTCTGCAGATGCTACAGATGCCTCCTCTTTCTTCGGTCAAAAAATTTTTGGCAAACCTTCTTTGGCAAAGCATTGTCTGGCAAACTGAACTAAGGGCATAATTGTCATTTGACATGACTAGATATAATTAGAATATTTTGATGTCTTACTGACTATATCAATACACCTTCTATAAATAATTTGACAAGGGTGTTAAGGAGGGAATCTGGACTAGTCAAGGCACTTAGAGAACTTGGATGTAGGACTTATGGATGCTATTGCTGGCTTTCCCACCAACTCACTGTATGACCCAGGGCGGATTGTTTGGTATGTCTGTGCTGCAGCTACCCCAGCTGTACAATGGAGATGACAACATTTATCTTCCCCATGTGATGGTCTGAAGCTTGTTAGCAATGCTTAAGAGCAGTACTTTAAGCAGGCCCCTAGAAGGGAAATAAGTATTACTAAAAGCATTTGGTGGTTGTGTTGGTAAAATTCTGAAAGTAGAGGAGTAATCTGGGTCCTTCACTGTGGTAGTGCTGGTCCCTGAGAGTCACAGATGTGGCAAGATGACTGGCCAAGAGACAAAGATTTGGTCAGCAATAGGAGGTTGGGGTCTAGCTAAACTGCTGGGTTGGAATCTCAGAGAAAGATGTGAGGTCACTTTGGATGTATGAAGAAGAGCATAAATACACTAGTGCACATGTGCCCATCTGTACACTTGAAATTGAAAAGCAGTGGGAGGTTCTCCAAGAAGTGTTGTTATAGGCCTGTGCATGAATTCTTGCTAAGGGAGATGTCATAGATATGCTGTGATATCTGCTGTGTAGGACAGTACAGCTGAACAACAGATGCTCCTTTCTTTTCTTGATGATGTTTTAATTCATCAGAAAGTACCTTTATTGACAATTCAGGAAAGGACCTCACTTCTTTCTTATGTCTTTTTTCCAAGTCTGACCTGTCAATCTGTACCATACATAAAGCAAATTGCTGAGCTAAAGATTTGGGTCTGTAGAAATCTATGCCATTTGAATGTTCATACCCTTTTTCAACAAGGAGTGATTACAGGTTGTTAGAGTCTATCAAGTTTTTTGCCATTACTGCAGAAATTTCTGCTCCTGCAGAATTCCAGAGCCCTCCCACCATCCCAGAGTTCAGCTCACACATCCAGAAGACAACCTAGGTAAAGTGACTTGCAGTCCTGTTTATCCATCAATGCACACCATTTATTTCCAATTCCTCTAGCATAAATAAATCATGGTCTCAGCTAGACCCTGTCTCCTGTATGCATGTTCCCACTGTCAAACTCACCAGCTGGGAAAAAAAGCAGACTTCTTCAGCCCTTCCCTATCCACAACTCCCAGAAACTAGTATCTTGCACATTTACACATTCATACAGTTCCTGCATCAACAAATTGCTGCCTGTATCAGAGCAGTAGAGGTGGTAGACAGTCCTGATACTCTGAGAAAGGGGTATTTGCTGGTAGTCCTGGAGAGTGACTCATCTAGTTTTTGGGAAAGGGCACTGTTACTTGAGCTACTTTAAATGCTGTCAGATATAAACACACTCTTCTCCTGGTCATTGGGATTTTCTTTACTGAAAGAGGTCAGGGACACAGGGACAAGGTTAGAGAAATGATGCATGAGTTACAAGGTAATATCCAGCATCAGGCACTACCTTGTGCATGAAAAGCTTTCTCCAAGAAGGGCTCTGACATTGCAGCATCCACATTTTGTGTGACTGGTCCCCAGCCTGGAACCCAAACCTGTTCCAAACTGAGGCACTGGGGTACCAGCAGCTCAGTGGGTTATTGATCCTGGCTGAGGAAGGAGGCCTTTGGCATATCAGAGCATGGGGTTAAGAAGACCATGGGAGGAACAGGGATGGCTGAGACCTCTCCCAGAATATGAGAGCTGAGGGTTTTCTCCCATCAAGTTGGGGAGGGAGCTCTGGTTTCCCATTCCTAGGGAAGTTGTAATATCTGAACGGTAAAGGCAACATCCTCTAGCAGCAACAGATTAGGTATTAAACAGAATGATAGAATGGCTTTTGTTGGAAGGGACCTTCAAAGATCATCTAGTCCAACAACCCTGCTGTGGGCAAGGACATCTTTCACTAGATAAGGTTGCTCAAAGGTTGTTCAAAATCCTGTCCAACCTGAGCCTGAACACTTCCAATGATGGGACATCTGTAACTTCTCTAGGAAGCCTGTTCCAGTGTCTCTCACCATACTCATTGTAAAATATTGTTTCCTTATATCTATTCGAAATCTACCCTCTTTCAGTTTAAAACCATTGCTTCTTGTCCCATCACTACAGGCACTGATAAAATGTCTTTCTCTGTCTTCCTTATAAGCCTCCTTGAAGTATTGAAAGGCCACAAGGTGTCCTCGAACCTTTATCATCTCCAAGTTGAAAAACTCCAACTCTTTCAGCCTTTCTTCATAGGGGAGGTGCTCCAGACCTCGGATCATTTTTGAGGCTCTCCTCTGAACCCACTCTAACAGGTCCATATCTGTCTTGTGCTGAGGACCCCAGGGCTCAAGGAAATACTTCATGTGGGGTCTCATCAGAGCAGAGTAGAAGGGGAGAATCCCCTCCCTTGGTCTGCTGGTTACAGGATCCGGTTGGCTGTCTGGGCTGCAAGTGCACATTGCTGGCTCATGATCAATTTTTCATCCACCAGTATCTCTGAGCTCTTTTCTGAGTAGCTGTTGTTGCTTTTCTGTGGGGTCCTGCTCCCAGTGGGACGTAGCAAGCCTGTCTTATGCAGTGCTGTCAGGCTGGGATAAAATGCCCTCAGGATGTGCCTGGATCTCCAGAGGCTATATGGAGAGTCTAGCTGAGTGTGACTTTGGGGACTGAAAACCTTTGAATTTCCAGTAGCCAATGACAAAGCCAGTCTTCTCAACAGAGCTCTTCTGGGGTTTTGCTGTAGTGTTGTCTAGGATGTGGACCCAGCTGTGCCACAGGCAGGAGTGAGGTACATGGTCAGGCAGCTCTGGGCAGGCAGTCAGCCGAGTAAAGGTCTAGTTTGAAAGGGAAGCTGCCAGCGAGTTGAGCTTTCTCCAGGGATGGACAGTCATTCAACAGTGCTTTTAGGATGGCAAACTTTGATGTAACATCACGTCTGTTCACAAAAGAGTT